CGGGTGACATGATAAACAACTTGCACATTGCCACCGTAATTCTGTGATAAAACGGGATTTATTTGGATAGATACCAGATAAGTACTAACTGGTAAATGGAAAAAGAGTTGGGATGGGATCACACAGCGGATGACCCGAGCACAATCGCGAATACAGTCGCTCCATCAAAGTAAATAGACAAACCGGAAAATGATTCAAGAAATGAGGCAAGCTGCTTTGTATTGTGAGTGTTGTGCAATGAAAACAAATGGTGAAATGACCCTCTTTGTACCAAGAAATTCCGCTAGCCAGGAGAAAACAGTCGCCCGATGAGATCTGTAAAAGTCTGAGGAATGAGCAAGATGTTCGGTGCAGCAGACAGTCAACTATCATTTGCGCAGCGATGTATAGCGCGTCCAGCTGAAACGACTCGCGCCATCATACGAATCATGACTGATAGTGGTGTTGATAAGTGAGGGATTATTGCAAAAAACGACAATTCAGGGTTAAAAAAGAGTAGCGATCGATAAACGCAAAGCATAACAGCAAAAGTCTAGAGACCGGATACGAAAGCACATAGACATAACGATTCCAACTCAAACATCCACCAAGTTTGTATGAAGGCCTGAGGAGGGAAGATGACATGCATCAGGATGATCAATCTGCTGATGTGGCGAAAAGAACAGGCCGCACCAACCTGTAGCCAACGATCGAAATATTAGCGCGCGAACTACATTTGAAACGTTGCTATAACGGCGTTTTCCGCTTGCCTTTCAGAGCCGCGCGCTTGTGCTGTGACTGAAGAGGAGCAAGAAGACAGAGAAGACTGTTAACCGTAAGGTTCTTTACATTTTCTTTATACCTATATTTGTTCCCCCTTTACAGTGGCTACGTGTTGCGTAATACAAGTTCCTGTTTCGCTCTTGGACTTCTGCTAGCGTGTCGGCTACAAACCGCAAACAATCCACACAGAAGTGGCCAGTCAACAAGGTTGGGAGTATGGTGATAAAGGTGATTCAGTGAGGTGCAAGAGGAGCTGCTATCACTGATCGGCTGATTGTAGGATCAGTTGTTCAGTGCTCCCACTAGATGTGACAAATACCAATGGCAGAGAAAGATCATCAGACTTGAGAGCTACGAAGCATTGGCCATGTTTCAGATCTAAATAATAACAAAGATGAGTGGACGATGCGACCGCTACATAGATAATGAATTTTCAAAAAGCCACATACGCCGTACAGCTGCGTACAATCTTATCCGGCGAACTGATTCTCCAATATGACATAAATGCAAATAAGAGAGAATGGACTACCTGTTTCAAGTGATCATTCTCAAATTGCGTAGACAGACGGAACATTGATTCATTCGTCCTGTGACCGTACATAGAACTCTAAGTACTATATCAACGGCGGAGTCGTGCGGCGGTTGCATGGGACTACATCCAAGCAAAAGTCAGTTGTGTCATTTGTGAACCACATTTGGCAATCGTTCACATGGTATAACACACACTGGTAGAGCAAACAGAACGGGGTCACAAAAGATCGCGTCGACCATAAAGTGAAGAGGAGGAAGATATGAACAGCCCTAGAACACCACATATCTCGTGATGAGATTGAAAGACGGCGTGCCCCCAAGGGTGCGCACGTGATCTTTAGAAACGCAATGGTGAAGCATCCGAATTTAAGGCGGTTTGTCTTGACATGGACTGTGCCACAAGGTACCCCCAAATGAATCAATGATGATCCTCTGTAATGTGAAGGTCATTATTAAAGGACATCCATAGGAGCGATGATAATAAACACTGATGTAGTGTAAACATTTGATAGTTTACACATCCTGAAACGGAGTGGGGCGAGTCAAAGTCACATGAACTCGATGTTAGCTGGTTACTGAGCCACCGTAGTACGGTGAGTGCACCTGGCATAATCGCGGCAGTATCAACGAACAGCATTAGAAAGCAAAGTGATACTCCGCAACAGCCTGCACCTCCCCATTGACAGATGAGTTGTCATCATACTTCAGGAACGAATGAAACAGGCTATCGCATCTGGGTGTAACATCACAGTATAAATGACAGTGCTTAACTCCCAGATGGGTACAGGCAACTCGAATAACAGGGGAGGAATAGATGCCGCGTGAATAGATGTTCAACAAACGCAGATAAACCGCAATGAGACTTGACCTTACCGTGGAGCGATGATTTGCGTGCCTCAGCGACTCACTGAGCTGTGCTGGGTGGTGCTTTTCGCATCCCCAGAGTCAATCATACCCGATTGGACAATGGTTAGAAGTCTCACAAACTCAGCCTCCTGGTCCTCCAGGTTGCGGGTTAAAGTTAGGGTGGCTTCTTATTTCTTAAAACGGACTCCTTGTAGTCCATTGCCAAACCCGCTGCCTTGAGGTCAGCTTTTTGAACTAAAGACTCTCGTTGAGAACCCTAACCGTTCTCCTGTCTAGGCCTCGGCAACCTGGCAGTATCCTGCCCACACAATACATCGAGTTTACTTTTATACTACTTCTTGATGATTTGGCTGTTACAGAGGATAATCAACGGCGCCCTATCTGCTGCATCGAGCAAGGTGGACAGGGGTTTGGATGCTATTGCTCAGGCCTCCCGTTTTCTTACTCCCTCTTACGATTTCATAACATTATCGTCCCGTTACAACTTCACTTTAACCCCTTGTTTTCAACCCCAAATACTTGCCTGCCACGTAGTTTTGAAAGGCGTTTGTCTTCTACTGCAAGACTCGAGCTCGCTTTGTGATACCCTTCAGGTCAAACTAACAGTGCCCTCACTGCGTCCAGCCGGGGACGATGCAGCTTCGAGCACTGGGCAAGCCCGTGTTGGTATTGCTCTGAGCCCGGGCAGAAGCTGTTCTGGTTGATCGGATCCCAATCAGTAGCCAGATGTGTGCGGTCCGACTGGCTGACCGTTCAAAGTTTTGAAGTCGCGCGGGGCTAAGAGGTGTCTGTTTGTCATCGCTGCCTATGAGCCCACAAACCGTTGCGATGACTCGGTAAAAGACGACTTCTACCGCCAACTGAACGAATTCCTACGTCACAAAAGAAGCACGGACACTGTAGTGATAGCTGGGAATCTGAACGCTCAAGTTGGGAAGTTATCCACTGATGAGCTGCATCTGAGCGGCCAACATAATGTAGGATCCCGTAATGGGAACGGTCAGCGGTTACTTCATGTGTGAAGATGCTCGCCTATTTCTTGTGAGTACTAACTTCAGACACAGCACCCGCCGGGGGTGACATGGCGCCCGCCAGCCTTAGAACTGCCTCCAGCGCAAATCGATCGCACTGCGATCAGTTTCCGCTGCGTCCAGAACTGTCGCTCGATTTGGAGCACATGTGTGGACACTGACCATGCATTTGTATGTGCTGATCTGCGGGTGCGTTTTGGCGGACCCACGAGGACGCTGTCAGCACATTGATACCAGGCATCTGGTGAAGCCAGATGTTTTGAATGTGTATCGAGGTACGCTGGTATTTGGGCTGAGTGAGCGCAAACTAAATACAGTTGTATGTCATTGGCTGTAGAAGTCAAATCCATACGGTTGTGACGGTGCACAGGTCAATGGGGCCATGGGTTCTCCTGTACGTTAGAGGAGCATGGATCAAGTAGAGGAACAATGGCGGACACTGAAGTACTCCGCATCAACGGCAGCGGTGGATTGCCGCAGCGACACCTAAAAGGTCCGATCACGTAACCAGAATACAAAAATTATTATAAGGAGGAAGTTAAGCAAACAGGGCAAGATCAAGGCGAAGTAAATCGCTTACTATGGCCTAAGCAAAGGAAGAACATTGTCACGCATAGATAAGAAAGGGGGCAAGTGCTATGGGAAAAAACTCCGGATACGCAAGCAACAAATGGAGATGGACTCAATCCACTCATCAGCGCATCCAGATGGTGTTACAGTGAATGCAGTCGTGAGGAACCTACCTCGAACGTGTGACAGGTAACCTGAACGGACAACCGCTAGCGCAACTAACAGACGCTGTTTGTAGTTTCGTGTGTCGACCCATAACAACATCACGACTGAATTGTTAAATATGACGCACTGCCGTCCTATGGGTCTGTAGTTACACAAGTAAGCTTGAAGTGTAGCGTGCTTGACAATGTTGCTGCGTACCATATCAGGTCTGGTCGTACGGCATGTTCATTCATCCGATGGATACCACAAGCTAGGTTACAGGGTCCCGGATAAGGGTAACCGTAGATAGCTCAACGACTGATAGAAAGGGCCACGGTATTGATAACACTATGGTAAGCGAGCCAGTACAAATTTTTACGTCAGCAGACTGCGTGACAAAGAAATCCGGGCCAGCACCGAATCAAACGTGACCTCCATCCACGTGCATCGCGGTTTTATTCAATGTGGTATACACCTGAAATGATATGTGTGGGAAGAATTGTGAATGGCAGATCGCAAATCACCCGAGTATGTAAGTGCCCTGTGACCATTTGCAGTCAGCCGCGTAGCTTTTTGGCAACATTGCTCAGCACCCGGCTAATCGAACCTGCAAAATAGCCGTCCCACCGATAGTGACCGTACGATGTGCACAAAGTGTGAACGTCTAAATCCTAAAAGATAGCCTAAAACACACGTTTTCGCTTAACTCCTATCCGTGTATGTTTTCCAAAGAGTCATCTTTCAAAGTCTGTCTGCATCGCATCGGAGTATCAATGTCATTTACTGATGTCTTGATGCAGGTCACACTCGTATCCGTTGATAGCCACTCATGAGTAGCCAGCAACAAATGGGTTGGTGGGGAAATGCACGCCTCGGTGTTAGCGCCACACCTACAAAGTTTGGGTTACTGTCGCGGAATAGAAAGATCGATGCTCCAGTGGTTCTAGAAAGTTTGGGGAAATTCCTACTCTAAGTAGTATTTCAGTCGATGAATTGAGCTTCAGTGATTAATGAACTCACCTTCTTCTGAATGCGCTTCTTTGTAAACAAAAACACACAAATACACTTCATACGTATTGAGCAAGTTAAACTCACCAACAGTTATGTCCATAGGATGCCTGTCACCGAGAGCACGTAGTTTGTACAGACAACCGATTTGATATTGATATTGGATTAGGTGGACAATATCTGCAGGAAAAATGGAGAATGTGTGATCGACACATACACACAGGTTCGACTGAAGTGAGTTGAGAAGTAACATTACAGTGATCATGGATTCCCTGGGCGAAGGGAGACATGTGCAACTGAAAATGAAAATTTTCTAAAGCTGATGGAAGACAATGCCTGATACAACAAGCCGTATGAGAATAGGGGGGGGGGGGGGGAAGGAGCAGGGCTAGGTGCAGCAGGAAAAGGCTTAAAGAAGGAGATACACTGCTGTTACGAAATCAGGGTCGAACTGGGGTCATAAATCATCGCTTATAAGCACACGACTACTGGATTTGAGGTGCAACAAGACAAACGTACTCATATTTATATGCACGACGCATATAGGCATGGATACAATCAAAATGGTAACAGGCTAACCGGAAGATACATACAATCAAACAACGCAAGGGTTATAAGAGATGAGACAGAGTAGGACCTAGTGTGTATCCTAAAAACGTCCAATTTTGAGTTCAGCTGCGTCCACCCTCTGCCTCGATTGTGACACGCAGTCTCACTTCGAACTATCATTTGCTTTGAAGTGGACCGGGTCAGCGCGATCAGCGGGAATTCAACGGACGTTCGGTAACTTGGTCGCATGAGACTGATATACCGGGAATCGGTGTACTGCTGAAGGCATTTTTAATCGATATGAAGCTCAGCAGAAATTAGGCAACAGCTCCAGTAAAAATGCCATGCGACGAGTTTCAATGAGGCACACATATCGCACATGTGCAAGACAAATGTGTTCGAGGCGAATTGTCTTTAATAATTGATCGGGGGCGGAAGTTCACCATAGCGAAAGTTCACGTGCTATAGTAGAAAACTCTAAGCTCCGAAGAAAAAACCACTCTGGTGCATACTTTCAAGATGTGCAGGCAGCAATTGACATAGGTCACATAGTCTCAATCAATTAGGAACTCGTTATGGGAACCAACAGCAGCAATAGCAAAAGCACATAAAAGTGCTATAACTCACTTAGATAAAGGGAAAACAGCATAAATTGGTCCCGGAACTCATCATACGAACGTGATCGTGGCCTGCGAATGCAAAGACGAATAGTAACCAACCAAAAGAAGTGATCAATGCAGACGAATGAAGCCAATGAAGCCGCAAAGACCGTTAACTCCGGCCAAGGATTTCTGGGTCAACAAACGGGGTGAGAAAAGCGTAAAAGATTGGGTGGCAAAGTTTACATAAAGCGTGCTCATTAAAACGGGGTGTGAAGCAAGCAGTGCAAGTCACTCGAAAACAATAGCAGGGGAGCACGGTGATGCTGACGACCAGGCAGAGGGTGGCCAACTCGGCACAAGGGAGTAAGTAGTTAAAACGCAGCGTAATCGCGCAAAATCGCCGCTTACTACTACGTCGAGAGTCTTCAGTGGTAGTTCAACTAAAGCATGTAGAATGTGAGAATTCCCATGATACATCAAGTAATTCCAGATTTCTAACAATGTGTTTCACATGACCAAACTGCGGCATCACTTCACACCACACAGCGAACCGACCACGCCGTTTGAAAAAGTCCGCTGTACAAGAACTAGGAGAGCTTATGGAACTTTATCGGGATACGTGGGATACGGACTTCGCCCGCCATTGTTGCGGAATTCACGCGCATCGCCGTTGAAGAGCCGCCGAGTTCCAGCAGTTTCTATTGTATGCAGGTCCTACGCAAGATTGTTGAGCCGGATCCTCATGTGCATTTCTCCGTTTTGCATCTGGGTATCTCGCTATTAACGCAAGTATCATAAAACCATCCTCCGTTTGCACAGAGTGCTTTGTGCACTAGTCGAAGACTTTAGTGGCTCAAATAGTTCAGATGGAATGACATTTGACGTTCACTCATTGACGCATTTGGCAGAAAATGTGTGGTTACATGGTTCACGGACGATCTCTGCGTTTCCTTTCGAATCGCCTGTACAAGTTGTAAAACGACGATTACACAACGCCGTGAATCCGGTTGCACATTTAATTCGAGGTATTAAGCCCGACACAGTGGTTCAGTGTAATAAAATATGTGATTTCGATTTCCAGTATGTTTTAATGAAGGGCGAGTTGGGTTTCCGATGGAATAGAAACACTACTCCACCAGTATGCCGGACAACGTTGTTGTAGTTAGCAGTAAGACTTTTATCGTGGTGTCAAGTCCTGGATCCTCAAACGAAGCGAGGAACAGGGTAGCTATCAGCTCTTCTCTAATTTAACATCGACCACCATAAAATAACAGATGATCCTCGCGATAAACTCGAATAGAAAGTCAGTACTTCGTTCGCAAGTGGCATCAGCGTTAGCTGCAAATCTCACTTATGTGACCGGTGGCCGGGGCTACTTCGTACAAGGTAACCGAGTTGCTACAACACTCACATATAATATGAACTGACGTTCATCTAATTCTTTCAAATAGGAGCAAGTGTGCTTGAATTTAACCAACATACTGATGTCTGCCTATCAGTTCAAGTGGCCTAAGTAAAAGTATTTGATAACCTATCGATGACCAAGCCAAACACGAGGTCTCCTGTGTTCATGATGTAGATGTGGCTCCTCATAAAATGTCCAATACATAGCCGGTTGTGGTTTTCGTTTAAATCGGTGAGCCCGCATACTCTGAACTGATTATCCGAGTTCAGCAAGCCGGTCTTGTTGTGCCAACAGATGACTAGGTCACGTTCTGTGAATGTCATCTGAGTGTTTACCCCATCGCATCGTGTTCTCTCTTGTAGGATTGGTCAAATATCTACCTGTAGGCAGCAAATGAACTAGCAAACCTCATGTCTACCTGTCATTGGATTCACACGGCTGTCTAGTTGCAAGCCCAATGGTAACGAATACCGATGACTCGAAACGCTTCAAAACATGGTGTGCAACCGAAAACAGTGAAAGACTGGCGTGCATAATTCTTACGATCCAAGTATGCAACGCACCACACTTGAAAATAAACCAAAAAGTGTGTGAAGAATTGCTTCGTTTCCTCTTGTGACAACTGCACCTGTCACCTTCTGTGGGTCTCCATGGTTCTGGATGGGCGTACCTCTATTCATTTGCGTTGCAAGTAAATAAACAGGGTTGGTGGCATCCGGTTCCGGATGTGCCTGTCGCCGCGGCTTCCATGGGGACAGCCACAGGACGCCTGCGCCTACAGAGGGACTATGGGTGGGTTGCGTTGCACCACCCACAGCCTTATCCACACACCCCATAACCAGTGTAAACCCGAAGGAATAAGACCGGGAGGAAAGTGGACAGGAACCATGTTTCATCAACAGAACCGGCCCACACTCCTTCAACATACACAGTAGCAGCATTCCTGTTTGCCTATTTAGGGAATCATGCGTACCAGATGCAGATAAAGCGGTGGCCAGGCCGTAGTCCGTTCCACACAGGATGGAACCACACTTTGAGCCTAGCACAATCATGGAGACCGTGCACCCCATCCCCTAGCAAGGATTACCAGTCTCCGGGAGCCAGTAATCGAGGTGGTGGATGTTAGAGAGGTAGGTAACTTGTCAACGTTCATAACAAGTGCAGCCACACCGGGAATATCAATCAGCAGCCAACAAATGAAATGCAAAAAAAACCCAACACGCTTGCACAAGCACAGTCTAACTGCAACAATGTCCAAGACATACCACATCGACCACATTAGTGGCCTGGGACAGTAAATTGTATCGGAAACAACAAATATACAAAGCGATGCGCTGATTAGTATCAATTCAGTTGACTCGTCTCCCATTAGATGTCGGCTCCACGTGGCCACGCTGGTGGCTTGGCTCAGGCACTGGCGGCCGCATGTGCTACATCACTATGCGCTTGACGCCAATGGACTAGATTTCATTGATGTCCGTCGCTTTCTCAATCGATGTTTCTCTTCCGTATGCAATAGTGATTTAACTAGCATTTGGGAATCGTCCTCTTGATATGCTCTCGTCATTCGCGCCGATTCAATGTCATCGCTCCCCAACACTTGAAATCAACATCAGTTCGTGACAAACTCACCTTGACCATGTCCTAATAACATAGTTTCAGTTTCCTCACATTGTGTTTCCCTGAAATAAGCTGTCCATATAGCAGCTGCTTGGGTATCCGCGTCGAAGCCATGAGCCTGATATGCCCCAGCCACCTCAGGTGCCTCCGCAGAAGTATGCGGTCCACTGCATACATGCCGTTGCGGCGAAGCACTCCCGTGTCAGCAGCTCAGTCACCTCAGCCGATGCGCAAAATCCGACGCAAGCACTGCTGATTAAATCGCTCCAGATAACGGAGGTCCTGATACAGCGTCCACGTTTCGCTGTCATATAGAAGAACGGACAACCACATCGCTACACCATCAAATCACCATCAAATCAGTAAGCTGGGGATTCGTAAACGAAAAATATTCCAGCAGGCCAGATGCAGCAGCCGCTTTCGATACGCATAGGCGCAGCTCGCTCACCATCCGGATGTCTGTCGAAAGTACACTAAGCAGGTAGCGTAAGCTGGAGGTGGCTTCCAAAAAGTCGGCACCAATCTGGATTTGTGACAGGCCCAGACTCCCTTCCTGGGGAAGGCTGAAAAAGACAAGCAAGCTTGCTTGCGTTGATGGTGAGCCGGAATTTGGCCGCTGTCGAAGTCAGAGCACTAGTCATGTGTTGCAACTCATCCGCGCTGTGTGCAAACAACGTATAGTCGTCGGCAAACAGCAGCATATGGATGGTTATCTCACATGTTAGGGTTCTCGCACCTAAACGACGGATGTTCAGCAGGCCACCATCAATAAGGTGCTCCACATGAACACCGTAAGCACAAGCGGCATCAAAAGCACAAGACATCATGGCATGAAGATATATATATTAAACAGGGCAGGAGCTAAGATACAGCCTTGCTTCACACCAGAGACAACTGCAAAGTCATCTGAGGTCTCTCTACTCAGCTGCACCCTCGCTCGCATACCACTGTGCAGACATTCAATTAAACTTACAAACTTACTCGGGCCACCAAACTTACCCAACATCAGCCACAGTGCCTTGCGGTTCGCCGTGTCAAATGCCTTGGTGAAGTCGGCACAGACCGCATCATGGAAGACAAGTGAGTGCAAAACCGATCCCTCGAGTCATCGGAATAACACTCGAAAAGACTATACATGCTAATAAAAACAGCAAATTTACCTCTTCCAAGCCGCAGACGCAGAGTCATCAGTCATACGCTGACGCCAGTCGACTCTGCCACTAGCTGGCCATTTAGGCGGTCGGATAGTGCAAATCCCACCCAATGTTTACGTGGTGCAGTGGTAATGTTAACAAACCAGCACCAGCTTCATGCAGCTTGCCTTGGTCAGTGAGCCGTGTATCACTGAATGCAGCAATGTCGACCCAGTAGCACGCGAGTTCCATCGCGACTAGTGCAGAGTGTAGCTCAGGTCTCTCGCACGTAATCCGATCGAGCAGTGAGTGCACGTTCCAACATCCGATGTTGAGTGCTTTGCACAGAGGCATATGACTGCGATGGCAGGAAATCCCACGAGTTGTCATCTCGATTGGAGGAAGTATGGGGTTAGGTGAAATGAGGAGCGGGAGAGTATGTGTGGAAGAAGAAGAAGGGATACGTCAGTGGTAGAATGTTTGCGCTTACCCACCCCGCTGTAAGCAGCGGGTAAGGCAATCATTTTCTTAGTGTTACAGCGAGACTGCCGATGCAGCAAGGGATTATTATTATTATTGGCGTGATTTATGTTTAGTTTTGGGACTGGAAAACTGCCCGGTCATCCCCACCTGACAAGAGAACGAGGTGGGTCCTCAGCCAAAGCCTACGAAAAAGAATACACCAGAAAGGTAGCGGGCGTGCGCCTTAAGTCAGTGCACGACTTGAGTCCACTGCACAACACTGGGAGAAGCGGGTCGACAATATGTCAGGATCTCGCTACCAAAAGCTTCATATACATATATATATATATATATATATATATATATATAATTTTGAGGTTGCGAACATCTGTTAACATAAGGGCGCTTCATGTAGGTTTCACGTTTTGCTCAACGGTATCTAGATTCAGAGGGACATGTGGAAATTT